TTTTTCCTTGTACAACATTTTATTGTTTTCCTAAATCGCAACAATAATTTTTCGAAAAAAAGTTGTTGACGGTGACAAACGTAGAGAGAGACCAGCCATAACTGTATTAAATAAAATATGTAATTATCATAATAATTCAACTCGTATATATAGTGTGTGCCGTGTGGTGCGGGTAACTTATAATTATTTTAGTTTTTGTATAATATTATAAGCAAATAATAATTTCCGTTACGATTTTTTTTTCTTATGGCATTATAACTACACGCACAAATGCATAATAATATACGTATATGCGATATTTTTTTTCCTCGGATGACGCACCGGAAATATTTACGGGAGACTCGACATGAGAACCGGTCTATGTTGATTTTTCAAAAACAAAATGAATAAATAAATATTGTTACAGGGACACATATTCTATGTATATAGATGGACATGTACAGACGTACAGTATTCTTCCAAGATACGAAATCCGTCCTATACGGTAGTACGGTACTCGCCGCCGCAAATATGAATGAAACTTTTAAACGAACAGTAATCACTAATCGTAATTGTTCCCGAGTCACGCGTGACGCACGTTTATACGGACATTGCGGTCCGCGCGGATTCCTGCGGTCATTCGTGCTGCAGTCATTGAACTTGCAGTGTTTTTGTTTCCCAGCCGTTTTTCTACATGAACGATGCTAAATAATTTAGTTAGGATTACATTTTTTCTTTTTTAAAAATGGTTTTTTACTATTTCTTTATCATATTATATATATATAGGCACCGTCAGCTGTCGTATATAATATATATATATATATATTTGCTTCGACTCATGACAAACGTGCGTGACCGACAACCAATTAGGATCTTGTTCGTCGTTAATCAGGATCACAAAAGAAATAACTCGTTATAACCCCTCATCAAGCCATCCAACACTTAAAAAGAGTTACATGGAATATCGATTATCGTTTACGGGACTGCTTCGGGGATAATCCGACTGCCTATATACAATACACATATACCTATATACTTATAAGTTATAATGTTATATTATTGTTATGTATACAAATGAGAATATAGTTGTCAGATGAAAACGGGTCTCACTCAGATCAGAATACGATTAATATATCATGACCGTGTTCGTACAGTGGATTTCTTGAAGAGCCTTTGTGTGTATATTATGAATGTAGTGATGTATGTATAACTGTTTGAATTATAAAATGGAATTCCACACAAATACCTACACATAACTAGGTTTGTTTCAATGATACCAATTTAAATCGTATTGGTTTGGTATACGTATCATTATTTATGGGAGTTATAAATCCGGTTTATGATTGAATTGATTTAAGTGTTTATTTTAAACTTAAAAGTGTAGATGTGTAGCCGTGTAGGTAGTAAGTACCTGATGATCAAAATATTTAAATTGCTGGTTCTAAAGAGCGGAATAAATATGATATAAACTTCATTTCAAATTTCAGTAGGTATATATAATATATATAATATACGTATATAATTGTTCAATATTGTTATGTATGAGTATGTACCTATACCTATGGGTTATGATATACCTAGGCACATAATTAGAATAAAATCTTCAGTTTCAGAAATATCCATAGGTATACCTACCTAATATACTAATGAATAATATTATTTAAATTTTCAGTAAATATGTCGTTAATTTAATGAAAAAAACTGAAATAATATAAAATCTATTGACATTTATTAAGATGAAAGTAAGAAACATTTTAAAACGATTTAAACAAACTACCGAGTGGTTTGAAAACGTGTACCTGTAATCTATAAATTCCACATACATCAATATCTACATGGAAATTAGGTAAATTTTAAACGCATAATATGTGTGGGATGAATGATAATGATGAGAAATTGTCAATTGAGTTAGAAATGATTTTGAAAAAAACACACAAATGATTGATCGGTTATTGTTTACGATTATTATCAATCGACAATCGAACCGTTTGCCTCAAAACATTCAATTACTTAGAACGAATTAAATAGATACACCGTACACACTGCGATAAGATTTAAATTTCGTTGGACCTCCATTCTATTGTACTCGTTTTGATTATATTTATCTATAATCATTTAAATCAAAAGTGTGACGATTTGAAGTTTTTACTAAATTTGGATACCTACCTATATCTATTATTATCTGGAACATTCGCACATAACACGATTATAATATTACCTATATATATATATATATTATTAAACACCTTATGTATAAACCTACCTATATAGATATTATTGATAGTAAAATAATCATAAATATTTTATACAAAATATATTATCAAAAGATTTAGAAGATTTATTTGCACATTATTTTCAAAGTGTATGAAGTAAATAAAAGTAATATTGTATAATATTTGTTTTACACTTGCATACATTTAAATATTTAATTTACATACATTATATATTTATATATATTTAGGTTGTATTTACTTTTTTACTCAACATAACGGAATAACTTTGTAGTCTTTCTTTATAAATATTAAATATACGCAGTACACACATAATACCTACTACCCGTTATTGTTAAAATGTAATTAAATGTAAAGGTAAATTATTCAACTATTAGGAGGACGTCGCAGCTGCATGTGTTGTCTCCGTCTTACACACATACGACATAGTAAATTTTCGTTTGCTAGTTTCAAGTCAGTTTTCATCTTAGAGTGAATTGACCTATTATCAAACAGCTATTTAAGTAACAACATTATCGATCTGTGTTCTTTCATTGGTATTTTGCGATATTTGAATTTTGAAGTACGTTGTTAGTATATACAACATTAATATTTTAAAATGCTCATAATTCACTTCAAAATTAAAAAAATCGTAAAAAACTAACTAGAGAACACAGATAATATTGTTACTTAAAAGTTTTATAATAGGCCAATTCACTCTAATATCAAAACTAACAGCGCACTAATACACTATTGAAACTGGCGAACGAACATTTGATATGACCGCCCATGTATGAGACAGAGACAACACAGCGGATGCGAAGTCCTCTTAAGAGGACGTTTTACACTCAAGTGTTGTCTACTTATTTCCGTCGTACAAATGTACAATCGTACAACATGTCAAATTTGCATTCAGTATAGAAACAATAAATTGTGTACAGTTAGCTTTAATATTACAGATAGTTGAACTGTCGTCAACCTAAAGGTGAGAATATTATTAGTGTTTGCACGTACCTATGGTTTTTAATTTTAAAGCTAGTTATGAGCATTTTTAAATATTTTACATGATCGTAAAGTCGTAACTCACTTAAAAATTGAAACATCGTAAAAAACAAACTTAAAATATCTTAAACACACAGATTATGTTCTTAGTTTCTTACCCTAGTGTTGATAACTCATTCTAATATTACGAGTAAAGCTATAACAGTATAACTACCTACACAAAATTGGTTCTGCTAAACGCAAATTTGGTATGTCATACATTTGTAAGAGATGTGATAAGTTGACAAAACCTAAACGTTTTTATAACTAGGTATTGGTTATAGATTTTTATTTATTTATTGCTATCGAAATAAAATATTTATTTATTAGTTATCTGTACATAAGACATGTAATAAACTATAACTAATAAGTACAGTTGGTAAGTAAATCAGATTATATAATATATATTGTATTACATACACGAGTATGAAATAGGAAGTCACACCTCCCAAGATATCACTTGTTTCCCAATTATTTGGCAAAAATACTATTAAAATAATAAATGTACATAAATGTACATCAAAACTACATTTTGTTAAACTTCAGCATTTAATAATATGTTGTCCTATATTATAAGACTCAAAGTTCCTCTTTAGTCTTTATTGGAGTTAACAAAGAATAAAGCTGGTCTTAAAAATAATATACAAATAAATAAAGCATAAAATGTATATTATGGTTGGCTATATTATAGTATTATAATAATATATTAATATCATCTATCAATATATCTGATAAAATATTCGAAATGTAATGCTTACAATGTAATTCTTACTATCACTTTTGCTTTTATTTTTAATGTCTGTAGTAGCTGATACATTAATTGTTTCATAATATGTCTATTATTATAAAAATTGGTTGTGGTTTATAGTCAAGTCTGAGACGAAAGTTTAAATTTGAGGTTTAAGCAAAATTAGGATCTAGGGTCAATAAATAGAATATAAAAATTACCTACTAGATTATACTACATATATTTTTTTACCGGGTTTTGGTAGATAAAATTATAATATTAATCATTGGCTGATTTGAGCGATTCACATAATATGATGCGTCGCATACATGTACTGATGTACTTCCCTACTATTCAGGGCACTAGGACAGTATTTAGGTTCGGTGGTGAACCTGTCAAATTATTTTTATTGTAACCTCCCCCACAAGTGTTCAGTTTTGTTATTAGTCAGAATTTAGAGTAATGTCAATCATTTTTTATCATCAATTTTTTCTCTCTTTTCTTTTCAAACCACAACCCCGAATGGTTTTTCAACGCAATTTTTTTTTAGTCTATTGATAATTTTAAATTTAATATACTAAAATAAAAAGTTATTATGGTCTTATGGTTATAGTATTTTATATTTTTATAATACTTAGTTGGTTTTATTATTGCAGAAACCAGTAATTGAAATTTGAAACATCTTGGAAAACATTATTATTTCAAGAAAATACTATATATTTAATTAACGCAATACTATATTTCATATTCGGGTATTTTAAAGTTTAACACAACAATAAATTCATATGAGTCTTATAAAAGTAATGCATATAAGTAATTGGATTTATTTAGTACAAGTAGTTGGTGCTATTAAGTATTAAGTCCTGAAATTCACACCCCTGAACCACGTCCTCTTGCTCTATTTTCAAGTCGATAAATATCCTATTTAGAGTTAACAATTTTGTATGACACCTTCCCCACCATCACAGCTTTTTCTGGAGGTAGCCTGTAGATACCTAACTATACTTATCTCAATGACAATATACAACGATTTCCTACTTTACCTTGAACGAAGAAGACCGGTGGTGGTAACGAGGAACTCCTTTGGCGGTGACGGTCATGGTGACGGCGATCTCGGGCGTCCGTTCGACTCGACGTGACGACGGTGCACCGGTGACGATAGCTGCCGTAGCTGCTGCAGTATCGGCTGCGTTTATGATGAGTGGTTACGAGCGGTCAGGCTGGACTACAGCTACTATAGCGGTCATGTCCCGTGTATACGAGCGCGGTGGACGACCGACTGCTACTGCGCTACGCGCGGTTGTCGTATATGGTCGCGCGCGCGTGTTTTCCGTTTTGCAGCCCCGCGGAGGATCGTCGTCGCGGCGGTGCACACGCGCGCGTCCAACACTGGTACGGGTGTTTTTATTTTTCAATTTTATTCGCAGAAACTTTGCGCGACGACGACGACGACGTGTGTTTTTGACAAGAGTAACGCGCACGCGGAGGAGTCAACGACCGGCTTGGACTTCGGATGGCTGGTACTCTGGTGGTGTTCTGCGCCGGAGCCGACGAACGCGATCGTGACCCCTACTATTATAATAGGTACTCGCCATGGTCGTTGACGGATCCACCCCACTGCCGTCCCGCGCGACTCACGAGATCTGGCCGACTCGGACCCGCCCGCCCGCCAGCCATCTCATCGACGACGCGTCGACGCCACGACGGCGGTGTAATATTTCTACGCGCCGCGACTACAACCGGTCTACGCGGACGAGCGCGAGCTGCACTCGTTCGCGCTTAGCATTGCTTTAGTGACGACTTCGCCACAACACACACCGCCTTGACGTTAATCTGTCATATTTTTTTGCTCTGCTGCTTCTCCGCTTATAGATTTTATTTTAAATTAACTGAACTGGAATATTTTTCGCCTTTTCAGGAATATTTCTTCTAATTGTGCGCACCATTTGCTTAAACCCGATACTATGTATATTTCTACCCAGAGATTTATGATTATTTTTAAGTTTCAGTTTGAAGGTCGTAGAGAATCACAATGTTTTAACTGTAAATATTATAATTTATAACTTATAAGTTATAACTTATAACGGTTACTTCTCCATCCATGATGATGGCATGGTGTTGATATACATATTATTATATTATATCCATTCGGAACTTTAAATTTAGGTACCTATATAATATACAGAGTTATTTATCAAGCATGATCAACCCCATTTCTTTTTAAAACAAAAAATGTATTTATATTACGATTTTTGGAATTATAAAGTATACCTTACTTTAAGACCATATACTTTTAACTATTTACATTTTTAAATCCATTTACTGAGTGTAATTTGAATTTGAATTTATTTATTAATTAATAGTATCTGCCTAATTTATAATTTCCAAATTATTATTATTACTTGAATGTTGAATTTCCGTTCGACGATATTCGCAGCCACAAATTACAAAATCAGCCATAACAAAAGTTTTAGATTAGAACTAATAATACCTAATATGAAATATTATGAATACCGCTGTTTGCGTCGTATCGTTGTATTCGATCTATTTACTTATCTTACTTAATCTATATTTTCTTAAAAATTAGACAATAATCCTAAACACATTTATTAAAATGTTATTTCATAAAATATGACAAATTTTGATTAAAAAACAGGTCAAAATGAAAAATATATCCAAGAGTCCCGAAATAGCATTTAAATCTAAAAATCGCAAAATATCCAAAAATATCCAAAATTAAATTTTAACTTCAATTTTCTGTATCAAGAATCAAATTTTAAGCTTTTTTTTCTATTTCTAAAGCATTTAAAATAAGTACCTAAGCAATTAAGCAAATAGTAGACAATTATTATTTATAGTTACATAGTTATATTTATATATACCTAGTATTAAATATATTTTATATTTTTTTAAGACCATCTTTAGTTAATACCTATATACCTTAGTGGCTTAGTATCTATATACATGTTAATATCTCTGAAACTACTGGTTCGATTTTTGATTTAGATTAGACATTTCATAAAAATCAACTACTTCACAATTAACATTAAAATATGTTGGTTCTCATTTGAAAAGAAAAAAATATAAGTAATCCGTAATGAAAAATGGGGGTGAGCATGAATGTGAGGCACTCAGGTGTGAATCAACACTGCAGATCCCTAATATATAGTACCTATAACTACGGAGGTTTTACATAATATTTAGGAAAACCGTTTAACGCACGGAGGGGGCGCTACTGTATGAAATATACATTTCAAACATTTTCAGGAAAACACACACTTTGATAATTTAAAATTTTAATTTCTATTTGAAAGTTGCAAGTTAGTTGTCGTTAGTGGGTACAAATTGTAGTTTTTAATATTTATGAATAATAATTGCGAAAAACATAATAAAAACAGAGAAAAGTTTCGATGAACATTACATTAACGTATATTTTCATTATAGTTCAAGATTAACTCTATGGTAACGCTGTACGCCTATATACACAGGGGCGTCCGCAGGGGGGGAAGGGGCTAAACGGATGAAGCCCCCCCCATTGCCCTTATTATTATTACTTTTTCAAAAAAATAATCATCAAGTTAAACTGTCAATTATAGTAAGCAAGACGTAAATTTCATATATGTCTTACCAGAATGAATTCATTTTTGAAAAAACATTGTATTTGCATACCAATTTTCATAAATTATCTGTAATTTTTCGGTAAAAGTATGAACTACTTGTATGAAAGACCTTGTATTAAATTTTCTAGCCTCAGTTAAACATATTTTATATTTTATAAGTTTTGAACTACAAATTAACTGTGGTTTTGACGAATTTTGAACTTTAAATACTTATAAAAAATAACCATGATGCCTATGTATGATGGATCGTTAATATTTTAGCTATAATAAAAAAACTTAAGTATTACATTACATTTATTGATGAATAATTTTTTATTGACATTTATAGAAAAAATGAATGTAATTATTCAAATACAATCCAAATGAAGACGGTATAACCAAACATTTAAATAAATTTTCATTTTTTTTTCTCCAATTATTTTGAAAAGCACTGAGCATTTTCAATTTTGACCTCCTAAAAGTACCAACTAGATCCAATTTGCTTCCAAAAACATACATTGGGCATCGAAGCTTATTATCAGAGCATTTTTTTCTACCAGAAAAGTTGAAAAGTTACAAACATTTTAAAATACCTCAAATAAACGTCTGAAATTATTAGACTGGACAAATTAAAAATAAAATTGTAACTAATTTTCAAGCCCCCCCCTCCATTGAAAAATTCTGCGGACGACACTGCTTATACAGCTATACATTACAAAGAGTTTTGTAACAGTATAATACAACTATTTATAGGTTTTTTCACTGCTGAATATTAGCGTTGTACTATTTTATCAGATTTCCACCAGCATATTATGACTTATTATATTCTAACGTGTATGGACAATTCGTAACGAAAACGATTGCTCATCGCGCTCTTGTGGAACACACTATTATTATGAGGCAAAAAAATTGTACGTGACTGTGTTATATATGTAACAAAAAATAAAAAAATAAAACGTTTGAATACTATTTTCGTTTGAATTCGAGTTTCAGTTAGAAAAAATGTTTTAGGTTTTTTAACGCACTTTAAAATATATGGCCAACCACACGTATAAATATTTTGGCCCTGAATTTGGCAGTGACTAGAGAAACGCTATTGTTTTTTTGTAAAATATATTTTTTTTTTTTTTTTAACAGTAGTCCGTGCACCATCAGATCACTTTGATCAATAATAGGTAATTTGGAAATATACGAATCTGTCAAACAAAAGTTATATTAGAGCGATTAAATTTGAGAGTGAAAATATATAGTATTAACTGTCAATGTAGGTTAACACATAATTAACGGTATTTTATTAATAATATACATATTATTACATATATCATATTTTATAGTTGCATTGATCTTCCAAAATATTTTTCAATATTGTTTTATAAAAAGATTTGAATCTTGAATGTCAAAATAAAAATTCTACTTTTGACATTGATATAATTCCATTGACACTTGGGTTTAATATTTTCAATTCGCCAATTGTCGATCAGTAGTTACATCTCAAATATATAATTCACACTTGAGTTCAGGGTCAAATAAGATCGGTTAGGTTAGGTTCAAGATGGTCGTTATTTAAGAGCGTGCAATGAATCAAAGCGTCCAATACCTCTCGACTCTTGAAATCATATTATACCGTGTATATAGAATTTAAATAATAGACTATATCTACCTATGACTTATAAATGTTATGCCCGGTTCAGGGTTACATAAAACCTTAATGGACCGTTATATACTTAAATGTGTATAATATATAACATAACCTAACGGTCATGTGTAAAAGTTTTATGTAACTGATTATTGATTACCATTAATATTTATTATTTACACATTCATATTAAAATTGTATCTCGAATAATTAAATGCAGAATTATGTAAGAGTACCTAATGAAATACTGAAAATTCAATAGGTTGTATTTAACATTAATGCTTACCTATATTGGTATATTAGGCGTATAATGTTTGTTGCTTGATGCAGATTGAATTAAAACCACAATACTATTATTATTACCCCAAGTGAGCATAGTTTTTGCATTATTTAAACTTAGATTTATAATGATTTAAAACTCTTATCTAAAGGGTGTTAAGTAATTCATATAGCTGAGAACCATTTTTAAATGTTGATATTATCTGTTATACTTATACGTTGTAACGGTCTGGCCATCAAGAGTCCATCTGGATAAGAAATTAACTTGGGCATACACACATCAAACATAAAATAATGTATAAGTACCTATAGTGGCTAGTATAGTAGTATATCATTGATTAAAACTCAGATCAAATAAACTAAGACTATATCGTCTTATAAATATTATTTTTGTAATTTTACAATATATTTCCTATGCAAGAGACTGCACTACTGCAGTATATACCTAGATAATAATACATGATCATCGATCACTAACGAAAAAATCTTATTATTTAAGTACCCTAAATTAAGAAAGACTGTGTTTAAATGTATTCTTTTTATACATACCTATTAATATAAAAAAGGTGTTGATTACCAGCTAACTAAATTTTAATTAACGTAATAATACAAAACTTCGTATTTAATACCTACAAACTTACCTGTGTGTATATACAGGGTGTCCAGCGAGGATTTACCCATTGTGATATCTCCTGAGGGCTGAGATAATAAATATATGATAAATCTATTTTTTCTTTTATTGAACTTGCAGAGACAAGGATTACACATATTTTTTTGTTTAATTCAATTATTTTTTATTTTTGAAACAATTGAACATAAAGTCATTTTATAGAGTTCATTTTTGTGACAATTTTGACTTTTCAATATTTTATTTTCATTAATTTCTTGGTTTTTAATATTTTTTTTGATTTATAGGTAAAACGGCAAAAAACCGGTTTTCATCCGGTTAGGGAGTCCCCCCGCTACGGCTAATGGGTACTAATGGGCTAATGGGCATACGGGACACTCCGTATATCCACATCGGTTTTATACTCTTTAGTCTTTTGAATGACATTTGAACATACATTTCAGATTTTGAGCAGAGTGAAAATCATAAATAATATCATAAAATATGACATCTATATTTACATCGACAGACTGTTTATGCTTAGGATCGTGTTTCGTATATACAATGATTTAAATCATTGAATTAAAATTTACCACATCCATGCGACCGGTGACCCACACGAGTACACGAAACCAAATGTACAACAGAGTGGTACCCACTTACCTTTTTAATTTAATCTAAGCAGAATATTTTTTGCTGATAATTTTGATACATATTAATCGAATTTTGAACGAGTATAGTAAATACTAAATTTGTTGTGTGAGTGTGAGTCTTATAGTTGTGAGGTTAAAATATGGTTGGTGGGCGGTAGCGTGTTTCAATTCAAAGGTTAAAGAATGCGCCAATGCCAAGTTTTGAGTAGTTAATTTTGTTCTTGGAGCCCATGAAGAATAACATAGGTATATACTATATAATATATATTATACCTCAAATCTCAATTGATAGTTAATTTAACTTTTTAATTGTATAACCACACTAACCTAACCTATATAGTCATATAGAATACACACACACACACACACAAGATAAGTATCATATTTATATACGCTATGTAAACAATTCAAAAATAAGTATACCGTGAGAGGTCCTATAACTATATATACCTAGCTTATTATGCATGTTTATAAATTATACATGGAGTACCTACTCTAATTATATAATATAATATAGATATATAATATTATATAGGTACCTGCTACCATAAAATATATTTACTATTGCTTTTATACCTTCAACAGTTTACAGGTAACATATTTTTTGTCAATGTAGATAATATATGTGAGTTAATTCGTGGGAGAGGTCGTACCTATATAATATTATATGCACTGTAAAGAAGTAT